GCTCACGCCCATTCCCAGCCCTGCAGCACGGCACCCCAGCGAGGCACACGCCTGCCTAAGCAGGTAAAACAGGAGCAGAAACAAAAGCAAGAACGCAACTCAAGGTTACGATGCTGAACCACACAGCTTCATTTCTGCAGTAACGGAAATCATTAATAACAGTTCACGCTCTCAAAGCAGTTGCCATCCAAGCTCTTGAAGAGCATTATTAGTGTGCGAGACCTCAGAAGTCTCTCTAAGGTATTAGCCCCTTCTTAAAGGGAGAGGGCAATTAGGAAACAACCACTTGTGTGCCTCGATCAAAGTCAGCATGCAGCACGTCAACGAGTGAAGGGGAGGCGATGCAGAGAGCCCACAGCCATGGCCTGCCCAAGGCTACAGGAGGAACGGACCCATCAGGAGCCACAGTGCATTCCCCCAAGCAGCTCTCCACCAGTGTGCAGCCACCAGCAGGATAAGGGACCCGAGCAGCGCCACGTGGTGCAGCCAGCAGCCTTAAAGGACGTGTGGTGACTGGTATCATTTGGTTCTGGCGGTGCCACCTCATTCAGTGCCTCCTTCCCATAGGAAATAATGTGATTTCCCTTAGCAGTGCAGAGTCTGGGCCACAGCACTGTATTTCATGTGGAAGATGCAAGCAGTATTTATCCCAGCCAGCCCACACCTGGATCTCAAATCATTTCTTGCACTGAACATTGCACTGAGCACATACAAAGCTTACCACCAATGCAGCTACAGACACTGAGGGATCTACACAGCTGGAAATGAAACGTCTCCTGCTTTAACTAGCTGGGAACCTCATGGTTAATTCCAATCACAAAAATGAGCTGACCTTCACTGAAAGCAAGCCATTCAGAGAAGTTTGAAACCAGGCTAAATGGTTTGATCATCTGACCTCCTGCATCTCATGAGCCATTAAGGCCAAGGATAAAAGTTTCCCTAAACTGTCTTTGTCAGCTTAAGAGGGTGGAGGGAAGCTGCAAATGTGCAGAATGGAGTTGTGGGGCCGGACCCACTGCTGCCACGGCTGGAAAGCCTGTCCTTTAGGGCAGGATTGAAATGCATCAGCCAAAGCCTTCTCTGCCAGCAGAAGCTGCATCTCCACTAGAGGGCTTTGCTGATGCAGAGCTACGAGTAAGCCTTTACTGCATCAATTAAATCTGTATTTCCAACAGTTATGTCTGTACTCAACTGGGTAATTTGCATTTGGCGAAACAGTATCTTCTAGATACCTTCAGGACTGCCCTTTTGTTCTGGTTATTGCTTCAAACCGTGCCCTCATGTTACAGCCCCCTCCACCCCTGCAGTGCACGCTGTGAGCCGGGAGCCGTGCACCAGGGTGCAGGACAGGACCCCCTCCTTCCCTCCCTCCCAGGCACTCACTAGTCAGCATGGCAAAGCCATGGCAACAAGAGAAAAGCTTCTGTTATTTCACATCCTGCCATTCACTGACTGGGTGACCTTCTGTCAGCAGCCACTGAAGCAACCTTTGGAAATTTTCCGTATCACTTAAACCTGGTTGCTGTGCCAAGGTAGCAGCCGCACCTCCAGAACAGAGCAGGTTTGGAGCTCTGTGCATCTCAGCCTGCCGTGTTCCATCCAGTGCTGAGCATGGGGCACTGGCAGAAATCACCTGAACAGTGTGGTGTGAAAAATAAACCCAGGGATGAGTCTGAATGTGATAGAAAAAGATGGTCTGGGAAATGACTGCAATAAAACTCAAATAAGCAATCAGTTAAACGTGCTAATATTTATCGTTTGAAAACGAGGTGGAAGGATCATTACAGATGAATATTAAATACCTTCATTCCTTTTTTGCTGCAAGATTGAGAAGGTCAGAAGTTCGGGGGATGTTTTAATACCTCCGCAGATCCCTGAAATATGGCTAATTCTGCACTGTGTGGAAAGGGAACAGGCCCTCCTGGGCCCTCTCACACATGAGAACTGCTATAAAATTGGAAAGAAGGAAGACTCACAGCCCAGGAGCTCCTGCATGTTCCAGTGAACCCAATTTAAACAGCGTGGGGCACTCATGCCAGAATAGATGTGCTGACTTGAAATATATTGATCTCCACTGATGTGAGAAAATAATCTGACTCCTGTTCTCTGAACACTTCCATACAGGATGGTGATTTGCTTTCTGGTTCTGTCAATTCTGCAGGAACCCTTCATTGCAGGAACAACCCTGGGAAGAGCTCCTTATTTTGTGATTCTTTTTGTCCCTTGATGCAGACAAAAATGCTCTCAGGTTCTTCTGGCAGCGATTCCTGGTGGAGACACTGCTGCCCTGATACTGATACGCTTAACAGCAGTCATAAATTACAGTTACATGCACTTTTTTTTTTCCTCCTGAATAATGAAGTTAAAAGGCCACTTTGGCATAAATTCATTCATTGTTAGCCCCTGTGAAGCAAGCTCCTCCTGGTGCTGCTGCATACAAATAATTGCTTTTGGCAAAAGCCAAGTAGAACACAAGTCACTTGCTTCATTTATTTCTATTATTACCATCAAATGCTGGCTTAGAGCTGGGCAGTGAGGTGGCAGGGCAGCAAGATGAGATAGAGGGACGAGTGTCTTAGTGTGAAGTTGGATACATGAAAGCCATGCAGTGTGTATTTGTGAGCATGGTGCTCCTTCCCAGGGCTGGCCATGGGCCGTGCCCCTCGGCACCAATGGCACCTGGGTTTTATCCCTGGGTTCCCACCATGCTATCCTCCTCAGACTGCTGCTATAGTCCAGTATGATAAAGAGTTTCAATGCTAAGTGGGTCTGAGCAGTAGGGCTGTGATCTTTTGCCATTTTCCTCTCAGGAATCTCACTGGAATTTCAGGGACACGCTGAAATGTGAATTTTACTTTTTCCAAATAGTTTTTTTCCCTCATCTGCTGCAGCTCAAAAAGCTGCATTGCAACATACCACAGAGAGCAGCAGAAGAGGCGAGGAAATAAAATGAAGTACAATGATTTATGGTCTAGGCCAACATCTGTGTGTTGCCTCAGCTGGTCCTCTTTTTGTTCCTGCAGGACATGTGCTTTGATCACAATCTTCAGGAGTGTTCTCATGAGCAGTACGCTGTATCTGCTCATCTAATGGGAGACCCAGTGCACACCCCAACAGCAAAATTCAGGGCACTTCTCACATTTCTGAATAACCAATCCAAAGCTCTCCAAGCAAGTTACATCTAAACCTATAGATGTAACTTCACAACTCCTAACTCTGTAGGCCTGTCTGCTAGCTTCCATGATACTTTGCATTATGGAAATAAGAGCAAACTAAGAGTCCTGTTTTCTACCTGCACGAACTGGCACAGGGAGTTTGGGGAAGCTTCATGACATGCATCTCCTGCGTGGAGCTTTGGGGGTATATAGGAACTGCTGAATCACAGCCTGAACTTCTGATTGACCACCTGAGGCGAGCAATGAGTCAGCCCTGGGAGCACAGGGAAGGCAATTCACCTGTGCTGCTGGAAGGGGTGGAGCCTGGCTGCATCTCTCCTAGACCCCATTTAAGAGCTGACTGGCTCTGAGGAAGGATTTCTTCTGGAGATCCCCTCCTCTGGAGTTTCATAGTGAGCCCAGCATACGGGTATGCATCCTATCTATTCTGTTTTGGTATAATAACTGCGTAGCCAAGCTCTCTGGTATATCTCATAACATCTGTACATTCATTGATTATACAGGGACCAAGAGGAATAGTCCTATCAATGGAAAAGGTGTAAGTGGTAAACACACAAACCCCTCAGGCTGTCTTTCACGTACACATCAAACTTAACTTGAAGGAACTGCCTCAAATTCTGAAAAGCATGACCTGCAGTCCTTGGTGAGCAAAAGGCTGGTGCTTAATGGCATGCACAGCAGCAGTGTCTGCAATCACAGCACCGCTCCGCTTTGATTTGCACCGAGACTCAGCAACCAGAAGGAAGGGCAGCCCTTGATTCTGCCTGACCAAACGGGTCCCACAGCCCCATCCAGCAGCCCTGGGCTGGAGCTGTCCAGAGTTCTGCCTTCAGCTCATTCTGAGCAGCTCTGCTTGCTGCAGGCAGAACCTCCAACTTGCTCAGTGTCCAACACACGCAAAGGAAAATGCTCCAAGGTGCAGCAGTGCTTCCTGCCAGATGTCAGGTTTCAGGAAGGTTTCACTGCTGAAATGCCAGAGGAGCTCTGTACCCACCCCTTTGCTCCTGACAGCAGATCCACATCTGCAATTTCACACCCTGGCACCAGATTCTTGAACCAATGTCCCCTCGGGTTGCCCCCAGATAAAAAGCATCCATTGGCACAACTTCACAGCTCAAGCTATCAGCAGTCTTCCCCTCCCCTGCACAATGCAAACTCTTTCATTCCTGCGAACTGGCAGCAGCGTACAAGATCAGATTGAGGTTTTGGTGTGCTGGAAAACAGATCCAGCACTGGCTCCCAGCGCCGATTTGTGGGGAGCGAGCGGAACATGCTTTGCTTTTTATAGACTGTTTCCATGGTGCACAGAGGTTCCCATTGCTAATTCTGCAGCTGCAGAACTCCAGAAAATTGCGTAGCCTGGGTTTAATCCTGTGGCATTCTGCCCCTTCTGCTCCAAATCCAAAAGCAGTGGCCTGACACCCCCAGCAGCCAACCAAGCCCCCTCCCAGCACGACATGAGGGCAGATGATGCTGAGCCCCACCAAGCTGCTGGCCAGAACCTCCCCACCTGCTAAAGCTCCCAGGAAAACACAAGGAGGTAAAGAGATAAATTCCTATTCACCAGATGTATTTTTAAGACTTCATAGTAGAACCACATGCCTAAAGAACAAGCAGACTGCTATAATCTATAACAACACCACCACCCCGCTTCCATGGACCAGCACTGGTTGTACGTGGTCAAAGCCTGCCCCACCTGGACAAACACAACATTTCCAAAAGCATCTTCCAAACATCCTCCCAAAAGCACCAGCCACCCCCCAGCCCCAGGGGCAGAAACCCGCCTCGTGCCTTGTACTGCCCCATGGCAGGAGGATAACTCACCTGCTCCTGTGAATTCATCACCCGCAGCTTCATTTGCTTCAGATAAGTAGAGGTGAGAGGCATGTTGTAGTCGATGATCCCAGAAACCAGAGAGGAAGGTGGTTCGCTCTCTGAAGAACAGAGAAAAAACTTTGTTCAGATACAGAGATGTGGGAGCACAAACCTGCAATGTGCTGCCATCATTATCAAACGTATGTATTTAGAAGCTCTTAAAACCCCTAGCTGGAGCCAATGCCCGCTGAGCTGAGGTTCCCACACGAACACGACCCAGAGGGTAATTACAGAACAGATGTTGTTTTGCAGAAAAGAAAAGCACTGCTGTCACACCTGTGTAAAGCCCACACACAATATATAATTTTTCAGTCTACCAAACTAAAACCTAACAGAGAAAGAAAGTGAGCCTTGCTGAAGGTCTCAGAAACACTTCCATGCAAATGGGATTGATGCAGAGGGTGACCAAGAATATATTTCCAGTTTGCTTCAGCACTGCAAAGTCTCACCAGTTTTGCTGGGATTCCCTCAGGTAGGGGTTATCATTAAGGCAACTTATTAAGTGTCTCTATCTGGTGATGCAGATTATTTTTAACACTCTCATTAAAATACAAGCTTAATTTTAAAAACCTTTAATTTAAATTGTTCCTGTTGATTCGTCTGCCTGTATCACACTGAGCTCCAGAGATCACTCTGGATTCAGCCTGCTCCTGCAGATCCCCTTTCCACCCAGCCTAGACAACTCCCAGTAAAGCAAACCCTCCATGAGATTTCTGAGTTCACAAATGTTTCTCAGCTCTGTGGTCATCACTGTGAAGCTCTGCATGCAGGACTTGGAGACCTCTGTAATTATTTCTTCTGTCACAACATTTACATGATTGTGCATGTTCAAGAGGAAAGTTGCCTTTTCCCACAGGAAAAGATACTGGCAAAAAGGGAAATCTCTGTGCCTTTGTACAGATACATGCCAGCACCAGAGGACAAGCCCAGCTTCCCAACAAACCCCAAAAAGCTGCGTGGCTGTTCACCAGAACACGAGCTCCAACAGCAGCAGAGGAGGATTTCCAGGAGCTGAAGGTGAACTGGCAGTGGGAGGTTTCCTTTCCTGTCTCAGAACCTCAGTGCCTGCCTTGCATTTTCTGGGGTCACCAGTTTCACAGGCACCTTTGACACAGCCCCTTTTACAAACGGCCTTCACAAAATGTTTTACAGCACCTCAGAAAATCCATCAGCCAGCCGTAATGGGGCTGCTGTTCAGAAATGCTGAATATTGCAAAAGCCCAATGAAACTCAGCGGACCCGAAGGCGCTTCACACCTCTGGAAATATCAGATCTATTGTGTCTGATTAAGAAATGACCTGACCTAAAAGCATATTGTCCATAGCTGACTTAAACATTACATAGTTTTTGCAAGAGCCTAGTTAAGATCCATGGAAATGCAGAGTTTGCTCTCCAGGTCCTGGGCACCTGCAGCATCCTGGATAGCTTGACTCGGGTCGCTGGCTTGCACACACGTGGAGCTGCACAGCTTTTAGGAATGTTGTAAACTTAGGAATCTTGTAAACTAATTCCTCGCCTCTTTTCCATGCCTGTGTATCACTGCTCTCCATCATGCTTTGACCTACAAATTAATTACAAGCATTACTCTGTATACATTAAGCAAGCAAAATAAGCCATTTTTCTACTGTGCAAGGACGTCAGCTTGTGACAGAGATGCTAAAATCCCAGTGCAAGGAAAGAGCTCCCAGGAACAAAATCTCCTTTGCTCAGTGCTTGTACAGTGAGCAAAGCTCCAGGGAAACAGCTGAGCACCCTCAGACAGGAGCTGGAAGAAGGAGGACCTCAGTGCTCAGCCTTGCCTGAAACCATCCTGGTGTAAACCTGGAGGCATCCCATCAGCAGCAATGAATGTCCTGTGAATTTGGACAGCTGCAGCAGGTAAGTGCTTGTGCCTGAGAAACCAAAACATTTTGGGTTTTTTTAAGCTAACTGAAAAGAAAGAAAACCTTCATTTTAAAGAGCCTGGGGGACTCCATAGGTGTAATCCTCATACCTTATGTCACAAAAGGGGCAACTGGTATCATTTAGGTCCTCTTTAGAAGACACTATATCACAGACCCCAAGTGTTGGAAATACAGATAAAACAGGCAAAGCTAAAGTGAAATGGTTTGGATCTTAATTCCAAGTCTGTATAATTCCACTGGAATTACTCCTAATTTAATAACAGTGCAAAAGTGCCACACTGAAGTCCAATGTTCAGAGCTTCCCAGGCGCAAGATAATTTTCTTCTATGAATTATGTGAGTGCCCTGCAGGGTTCAATGTCAGGTATGTTTAATTAGGGATTTTTCTGAACACGTACGAAGTGTGCTGAGATTTGCTTAATGGACAAGTAGAAGTAGACAGGAATGACTTCATTTTTTTTTTCTCACTAAGTTAAACGTTACGTACATCTGTCAGTCTGTGTGTATGCATGCACATACACCCAGGCAATTTTCCTATGACCCCACCATTCTGCAGGTGATTTGCTCCAGATGAATTGTGGAATAGGTAGTAGTGAAATCAGATACTCTTCCCCAGTAAAAGTAATCTTATCTAATCTACTCTATGTGGTTTCACAGGTACTTAGTCACTATTTAGGTACTGTTCTGAGCAGAAGGGCATTTCTGTCCTTCCATTTCTGGTGGGTAAGGAGAAAGGCTTTTAAGCCTGTTCTCTTCCTTTTGGGTTTATTTCCAAGAGAACTGAAAAACTTTGTGACAACTCTTTGCTCCCTGCTCAGGGTCAAGCCAAATGCTCTGCTTGGTGTAACAGCTGGGTTCACCCCCAGAGAGACCAAAGGCCAAGATTTCCCTCGACCTAATTTAAAAGTGGGTCCTTGGCAGGCAGGGTGGGCAGGTGCTGTGCAGATGGAGCTTGGGCTAATAAACATCAGAGGGTTCTCTGGGGCAGTTTCCGAAAAATATAGCTGTGCACTTGATGAGGTAAACAAGTTTGTAATTCAGAAGAAAACCCATCCAAACATCAACTTGAACCATCTACTCTGGAAGAAAACTTGGTCCCATCCTATGCTCTGCTCATAGCTCCTAGGCCTCAGAGCTGCAGATTGGCTCCCTTTATAAAAGAACCATAATGAGCTAACTACCACAGTCACCATGCTAATTGGTTGTATACACAGGCATAATATAACTTTGATTACCAAAACATTTTCTGTTATCCAAAATGTGATCACGACGTGCATATCTATTAATTACTGCAAATTTTTTCTTTATCGGAAACTTCAATTATTCAAACATATTCACTGTCTTTCATTACCAAATTAATAGTTTAAAGAAAAAAACTTTAGGTCAGGTTTTTCCAGAGATCTAAGCTTCCACCCACGTACAGTTCTGAGCTGATTGCAGATATAGCTGCAGTGCTTTTGACCCAGGCTTTGTGGGGTTGCACTGGGGAAGGGGAACCAGTGGTGGAACTGCTCAGAAGCAGAGCTGGGCTGGGCAGCCCCATCCCACTGCCTCTGCCAAAAACAGCACCCAAACAGTGATGGAAAACTGAACTTTAAGCAATTCCCCAGGCTTTGCTGTAAAAGCACACTGAAAATACACAGGTTAGGAAATCCGTTTGGCAGAGACAAATCCCATGAACGAAGCAGTCACTGACAGCTATCAGTGGTGTCTGCTGTAGGGTGACTGCTGGCTCCGCTCGCACAATTTGCTTTGCCTTTACCTTTGGGCTCCAGTCCGTTGGAGTTGAAATGCATCCTCTTCTGGCACTCTGTGCAGCTCATCAGGAACCTGGTCACAGCTTCTCTTGGGAGAAAAGCATAGGTCTCTGCAATCTGGGAAAACAAGGAAAGGGTTGTATGCGCTGGGAGGGAAAGCCTGAGGGCTGGGACGAGTGCACAAGCACTGTCCCCTTAGCCTGAATCCCAGAGCACAGCTGTACAAAGCTCCTGAGCACCGTAACACAGCAGCATGCTGCTCCTGAACCCCATCCGTGGATTTTTTATGCAGCCCCTCCTGCCCAGAAACTCCTTCTTGCTTGGGCTCTGAGCAGAGAGAAGTTATGGTTGTGTAAGTACTGAATGAGAAAGTTAGGTCTCTCCAGCTCTGTTTGCACTGCTAATTACCATTGCACTGCTAACCTGAAGAATGCATTAATCTTTTGGGAGGGCAGGTCACTTTTTCCCACAATGACAATCAATTACTGTTAATAACACTTTGCACTTTTGTGACATATTTTAACTAGGGAATCAAAAACATTTTTACAAATAGTAATGAATAAAGTCCTGAACCTTTGTGGGAAATCTGTATATAACAGCTGAGGATGCATTTTTAAAATTGGATACCTGAACACTGTATCCAGACCTCAGCACCCACAGAAAGCACCTGGAGGTCAGGAGCCCTCCTGTTCCAAGCAGTCCCCATTAGCAGCAATTTCACAGCATTTATAAAGACCGAGCCTAGATTATTTTCAGAAGGAAGAATGTGATTTTAATGTAAAGATTTCTGTAAGGCCATGAGACACCACAAAATCATGGTGCCAGACCTGTACAGCATAAGTCAGGGAACCTATCCTGCAGCTCAGCAGCCAGTGCTTTGCCTATAAAACATCTTCCAGCATGACATCTGGTCTTAATTGAAAGACATTAAGAGGGTGGGGAGTCCACCTCTTACTTTGGGGCTGGCTCCTACGGTTAATCACCCATCCTATTTGGTCTGAAGGCCCTGTCCCAGCACAGCGGTTCCCAAACCGGGGCCATGACCCCAACAGGGGTCACAGCACTTACAAGTGGGGTCATAAAGCAGACAGAAATCCAATTGTTTGGGCCCCTCCTCGGGTGGCGAGCCTGGCAGAAGCGGGGCTTCCAATGGGAAACAGCACAGCAGGGCAGAGCAGGGATGTCCCGGCCCCTTCCTCTGGCCCATAGGCACCATCCTCCCACATTATTTCATAACAAAATCCAAAATGCATACATTCCAAGCATTTTTCTACCTCACGGGAAGGTGTGACGTTTAAGCTTTCTTGAAAAATGAAGGGAAAAAAACCTTGTGGAATCAGTGCAGTGGGGCAGGGCGGGGGGCTTGGCTGAAGCAGCACAGCCCTGAGGCCCAGCAGAGAGAGGCGTCCACCTCCGCTGAGCGGCAGCAGAGCCCAGCCTTTGGCACACACGTAAATGCCGTGCGGGTGGAAAGTTCAGGCAGGGACCTCGTCCCAGCAGCCAAATGGAGGATGCAGTGCTTGGTCCTCATGGGATTCTCCTGCCTAGATACAGCCCTATCCAGCTCTGCTGTGACTGCAGGGATGCCCGGCTCTGCCGCTGCCTCTGTGAGGTATTTATCAGTGCTCCAGCACTCAGAGCACCCGCAGAAATGCTGACATTGAAGGGCCTGAATATTGCTGCCGGCAAATGCGGCGCGCTGGCTGCCCCTCCGCCTCGAGCAGGGCTGTGCCTGCGTCCCTGCCTGCTCTGCTCCAGCACAGCCCCAGCTCCCGCTGCAAACGTTCAGCTAATTTTAGTGATACAGTTGTTATTTCTCAGCTGATTTGATGCTCTGCAGAGCAGACAGCTTCCCTGATGAGTTATCTCCCATCCAAACTCCCTTTCTGATTGCCTCCCTCCGGAGGTCAGGGACAAGGGCAAACTCTCCAGTGCCTCTCTAATCACAAATGGAGGGCAGCAGGGAGGCAGGAGGGGCCGGCAGGATGTGGCCACGCAGTGCACGGCCCCTGGGTGCCATGCTGTGCTGCGGGAGGAGCTCAGCTGGGAGGGAGGGCGAGAGGGAAGCGTGCTGAGCAGGATGCAGCCTGCTCCCAGGGCATGGCTTTGTGCTTCTGAGAGATGAAGCAAAGGGATCAGGGAAGGGTCGGCGTGGTCTGCAGGGCACAAAGCACTGTGCAGTGACAGCAGAGGGGACCCGCAGGGTGGGGGCTGCACAGCCAATGTCACGTGCAGGACCAATGGGACACGACAGCCCCCAGCCCTGCACTGGGCCCTGCACAGCCCCAGGGTGAGCACAGAGCAAGGCAGCTCCCTAAAAGGAGGCACAGAGCAGGCGTGAGCTGTGCCAGCCACATGTCTCCAAGCGACCCAAGTCCTAGGCTGCAGGATTTGCAAGAGCAGCTTGGATTTGGACCGTGAATTCAAGATCTTCTTTTACCAGAAGAGCCCAAATATTTGCATCGAAGGGCTGTGCAGAGTCAGGAGAAACGGCAAGCTCCCTAGAGAAGCACACTTCAAGCTGAATTATGCCTGACCTAACTAGAGTGGTTTCAGGATGGATAGATCTGGTTTTCAGCACCGGGGAGCACCTGAGCAGACCCAACTCGGGAGCTGCCTCCATTTTGCAGAGCAGGGAGCCAAGGGCAATGCTGTGGTGCAGCACAGGGCTGGGCTCCAGCCGAGCCCCAGGGCCCTTCCCTGGCTGCTGCTGCCCCAAGGCCCTGGGGACAGCGGATGGCACAGGGGAGGCAGATGGCACAGAGCAGCGGGGGGGGAGGGTCTGGGTAAACATCCCCTCACATCAGCAACACTGAGCATTTCTTTTTTTTCTTTCTCTTTTTTTTTTTTTTCCCTTTTCCCCCAGACATGTACAGTTGCCTTTGTATAATTCATTTGGTCTTTCCTCCTCCAGCAGCCGTGCTGCTGCTGCGGCCCCGTTTCCCGTCTCCCTGGCGCAGCTGCTGTGCCTTTAAGCAGCCCCTTTCTCACGCCTCCTCGTGCAGGCGAGCGGCCCCGCTGCCTCCAGCCTCCCCTGTGAGCAGCAGTGGCCCCCTGTGCCCGTCCCCCCACAGAGGGAGTCTCACCGCTCGGTAGGTTTTCTTCTGCCCAGCATGTTTGGGTGCTTTGCCCGGCTCCGTCGAACTCTCCACATGCATGGAGTAAATGATGTCAAAGAAATCTTCCACCACAGCCACGCGTTTCAGAGAGATGCCCTCGGGCTCCGACAGTCCATCTGCCCCCTACAACAGTGCAGGCAAGTCGAGTTAGTGTCAGCGGTGGGTGACAGGGGTGACGAGATGGGCCCGGGGCTAACGCGATGGCGGGGGCAGAGCTGCAGCATGCCGGCCCCGAGCTGCCGCGGGCGCAGGGGAGAGGGGGGGTGAGAGCTCCGGGAGGAGGATGCTGTGGTCAGGGCAGTGGCTGCTGCTGCTGCTCTGCTGCTCACGCTGCCAGAGAAATTGGGCCAGGAATAAAAACAAGAGAAGGGTCCAGAATGGAGTCACAACCAACAGAGAAATGTGATTTTCGTAATTTTGCTAGGCTGGGAATAGGCAGGGGAAGCTCTTTGGGCCTGCAGTGTGTTAAACCACCTCGGGAACCCCTGGAATGTGCATGCTATGCGTAGGGCACCCGTGTTGAAGGCACGTCCCCTTGGACACCACCAATAAGCGGGACAGGACTGCACCGCGATGCCAGGATGCGGCCCCTAAGGGAACGAGGCAGCATCGCCCTCCTTCCCCGCGCTGACCTTCCCGCAGCACCCTCCCTCCCTCGCCCACGCGGAGCAGCTGAGCGCTGGCAGCAGCAGCACAGCTCTTTGTGTCAGGATGTGCCGGGGAGCAGGAGGCTGCATGCAGCTCAGCGTGGCGACAGACTGGTGGGAGTGGGAAGCGCGGAGCAGCGCTGCTCCAAGCTGGCTGCAAGGAGCAGAACGAGCTCACATAGGCAGCAACGTGGGGCGTGGGGCTGCCCGGGCGCTGGAGGCACAAAGCACAGCACCAGGGGAGGGTTCTGGAAGCTGCTTAGGCTGCGCCATGAAAAATGCCAGCATAGGATATGTATAACTATATATATTATACACACATTCGTACAAATATGCATATATACAACACACCCCTTTGAGGCTTGCTTCCTGAAAATAAGCGCACAGATGCAGCCCAGTTTGTACACAGCAGGCTGGTGAACAGCAATCTGCACTCACAGGGCTCAGCCCCTCTCCTACGAAGACAGACTGAGGAAGCTGGGAGTGTTCAAACTGGAGAAGGCTCTGAGGAGTCCTCACTGCAGCCTTCCAGTACTTGAACGGAGCTTATAAACAGGAGGGAGACTGACCTTGCATGGGCAGATAGTGATAGGACAAGGGGGGACGGCTTTAAACAAAAAGAGGGGAGATTTAGGTCACATGTGAAGAGGAAATTCTTTACTTGGAGGGCAGCGAAGCACTGGCACAGCCTGCTCAGAGAAGTGTGGGTGCCCATCCCTGGAGGTGCCCAAGGCCATGGATGGGCAATGGGCAGCCTGATCTGCTGGGGGGGGGGGGGGGGAGGGGTAGTCAGCCCACAGCAGAGGGTGAGGTGGAGAGACTTTGGGGTCCCTTCCAATCCAACCCACCCTATGATTCTATGATCTAAATGACCTACAAGCTATCTATTTCGTGTGCATTCACATCTGTGAATGCAGGCAGAGGTCTGCATGCAGAGGGAATATCCCACCTCCCAGCCTTTATTTCTTTGTTGCTTTTGGTGGTTGGGTTTTACATACCCACACAGCCTAGAAATTGAACAAATGCTGTTCCTAAGCCTCCAGTCATAGGAATCTTAAAAAAACCCAATCCTTCAGAGCAATGGCCCCTGCTGAGGACTCCCACAAACAGGGAAGCAGCCTGTTGGTCAGCTCCTCACCCCAACTGCAGAGCAGAGCACTCATGCATGGCACGATGTATGGGAATTGTTGATCATGGCCCGAACCTCTGACTGACCACCTGAGGCAAGCAATGAGTCAGCCAAAGGAACACAGGTGAAAGCAATTCACCAGTGCTACCGGAAGGGATGGAGCCTGGCTGCACCTCTCCCAGATCCTATTTAAGTGCTGACTGCCACTGAGGAAGGATCTCTTTCTGGAGATTGCTCCGTGTGGAGTTTAGTGTGAATCTACAACACTGGTGAGCATTTCCATTTATTCTGATTATCTTTCTGTTGCACTAATCTTACTAACTCTAACCTCTGTATAGCTATGGATTGTACACCTATTCACTGTATGCATGACCACAGGGGTTCAAGAAATGGGCACAGGGGGTTCTCCTTCACAACCCAACCACTGCCTTCCCCTGGGTGCCCCAACCGAGCCTTATATAAAGGTGGCTGCAACAAAGAGAATATTGAGAACGAACACAAGGGGCACGGCGCAGGGCTGACGTGATGGGGGTCGGGGAACTTTGCCTGAGGGAGGGTTTCTGAGGAATAGATCTGATTTCTTCAGTCACTGTTCGGGGAGTTTCACTTTAATCCAGGGCATGGGTACTCCCTTGCCAAGGAGGAGCGGGCGTTAGGAGCCTTCCTACTGACCAATAATCCTCAGAGCAGGGTTGAAATGAGGATAATTAGAGAAACGGGACAAAGGAAGCTGCACCGGGGAAAAAAAGGACAGGCAGACAAAACAAGCAGAGCCCTCAAAACTGAGGTTGCAACCAACTCCACACACAAACCACTGTTTCCAGGCCCACCTGACCAACGGACACCCTCACCCCTGCAGGGCTGGTGGTTGCCTGTTTCCTCCTGGGTTTTACAATGCCTGCAGCTAAGGGCTCCACATCCCCTCATCGTGCTTTCTGTGGTTCTTATTTAGCTCTGGGAAGCAGGTGAGGTGCAAGCATCAAATCCACTGGATATCAGAAGCCATATCAAGTTGGTGACTCTAGGATTACCAAGGTTCATCAGTGGCAGTATAACCAAATGTTGACTGAGGATTTAAGAGGACACACGTGCTATGTGTTACCTCTCCAAGGGCCTGTGCCCTCTCCTTCTTCCTTCCACACCAGCACCGCTCACGAGAATTCAAGGCATGAGTCACAGCCCATAATATTTCAGAACGGCTTAACAGCCATTAGGTTTAAAAAGCAGTAAAAATCAATTGGGATGAAGGCGGACGAGAACAAGGGATGCTTTTGCCCCCTTCTGTGTTGGGGCTATACGGGAAGCTGTCTGCCCCCAAAGATTCAGGAGCAGAACTCGGCCTGGAGACGCAGCAGAGCCAGCAGGAGCCTGGCAGAGCAGCCCTTCGCACCTCCAGGCTCCTCGCATCGCCCCGAGCTGCCCTCCAGCCCTTCTCCCGCCTTCCTGTCCCTGTCTCCTGCAGCCCTCGCTCCGTCCCTTCCCTCCTCCCAGCTCCATAACCCTCCTCGCCCCTTTCTCCCACGTTTCCCACCAGCTCTCCGCTCCCCGCAGCCCTTTGTTTCCCTCCGGTGCCACGTTTCCTCGCTCAGCCCCGTTTCGCCCTTCACGTCCGCTTCGCCCCCATCCGGCGGCCTCCCTCGGCCCCCGCATCTCCGCCCTGCGGGTTCATCGCGGAGCTCCGCTCCCCGCGCGCTCCGGGCCCGCTCGGTCCTCCTCCCCGCACCTTTGTTCTCCGCTCGCCGCCCTGCCCTCTCGCCCCGTCCCCCCGCGACCCAACCGCTCGGCCGCGGCCGTCCCTCCTCTCCCTCCCTCCCTCCTCGGAGCGCCCGGGCCGGGCCCTGCGGTGCCATCTGCCGCGGCGGCGACGAGGAAAGGCCCCGCTCCCCCCCTCCCGGCCCGGGCTGAGGCCCCGGCGGCGGCAGGTAGCGGCGTCGCCATGGCAACCGGCGGGGCCGCGCGCTGCCGGCGGTAATCCGCTCCCCCGGGCCGGGCGGCTCCGCCTCGCGGCGGGAAGGCGGCGGCTGGCGGGGGCGGCCGCGGGGAGCTCGGCGGCCCCCGTTCGGCCTACGGTCAGCCGGGTCCCCGCGGCCGTTCCTCCGCCGGAGGGAGCGGGGCCGAAGGGCGAACGCCGCGTGCGGCGGGTCGAGGGCCGGCGGCTCCGCCACCTGATCCGCGCTGACCCCCGTCCGCCCTGCGCGAAACCGGAGCCGGGCCGCCTCGCGCGCCGACCGACCGCACGGCCCTTCCCCACAGCTCGCTTTTGAGAGGCATTCGGCCCGAGCGAGGCAGGGCTGCGGCTCCCCGCGCCGTCATCGCTGTCCGACGGCCTTCGCTCACGGCGACCCCCGGATGCTGAGCCCCGCTTCGCCGCTCCCCAGGAAAGCGGTGGCTGCGCTCAGCGGGGTCACGCGAGGGCCGTGGGGCTGCGGGAGACGGAGCGGGCAGGAGGGAGCTGCTTCCCCATCTGCTGCGCTCAGCGGCAGATAACGGCTCCCCTGGCCTCGCGCACGGGGCTGATAGCAGCCGAACGGAGCTTCCTGCGAGCAGAAAGCCACTTCCTGGCACGGCACGGCCTGGTCGTGGCTGAGCTCCGCGTGCTGGCCGTGCAGCAGAGCCTCTGCCCCTTCCTGCTCATGTGAAAACGCTCCTCTCCGACACAGCTGCACGGCACGGCCTCTCTCAGCACGTTCAGCTCTCGTTTCCCATGGCTATCTGAGGACGCCGTCACGCTCATCCCCAGGGACACCCGCATGGCGTGGCTGCACCGGGCCACCTCCATGGGTCACATCCACGCAGTCAGGACAAGGGGTGGCACCGGCCCCTCTGTGCGCCGTGCTGCAGGTTGGGACCAGGCTCCCAGCTGCCATCGGCAGCCCCTGGCTGCCCGTGACAGTCCTTTCTGCTGGGCTGCCAAATACCTGCTTGGAGATTTGCAAGCTTGGTGTTGTGCCTTTCTAATTTCCTGTCAGTTGTGTTTTGTTCTAGGGAAATCTTTTCATTCTCCTCCCGAAAATGATCGGCTGGGAGGAAGAAGCAGTGGGTACTTACAGAGGACAAAAGCGGTAATACACAGCAAGGAGTGAGGTTCTGCTGCACATCAGAACAATCCCTTTCAGTGTCCCGGAGGATGCAGCTCGTGCCATCCATGCACACAGGTGCTGTGAACCCACTGCTGCACAGCCCTCAGCACCGAGCCGGACACTTCACCCCAATATGGACTCTTACAACTTTTGATCAAGAAACAGTTCTTGGTAGTTCTCATCTCTGAGAAGTCAGCCCTTGATTGGCTTCTATATTTAGGTTTCTCCAGGGCTTTAGGAAGTTCACTCCTCATGGTATTTAGGTGT